AACAAACCAGTGGATCATCAGACAAATCAACTCAGAGTTATCACTCATGACACAAATGACCAGGCTCAAATTATCCTACTTCAGACACATTATGTGAAGACCCAGCTCTCTGGAGAAGGCTTCACTGCTGGGAAAGGTGGAAGGAAAGAGAAGAAGAGGATGACCAGCAGCAAGGGGAATGGACTCAGTTTCAGTGGCCATGGGTCACCATTGGGGGACTTGAAAGACCTGGTTAGGAACAGATTGTTGTGGAGAATATCTGTGAGGTCACTAGAATTCAAAAATGACTTGATGGCACATAATTAACAGTTGAAGTGAGACGATTCACTTTGAGGGACCGTTCTGTCAGAGTATTCAGTCCAGGGATTAAACATGACCTAGCTACCCCACTGATCCAGGCTTTCAGGGTAAGACTACAAGTTTTGGGGTTTTTTGCCAAGCAAAATTGGCTTTTTTTACTTTGTGGTCTGACTCCCCCTACTGTTAACTTTCTTTCCTTCTTTTCCTTTCCTTCTTGGTTATTTTTTTTGGTCACACTTAATTTCAGAAGCAGCAAGTGCGCTAATTGGAGAGGTAATGAAGGGATGAGGGAAAAAAATGGGGGGCAGTGTGATCTTGGCAATGGATGTGTTGGAGGCCAATTGAATCAGGAAGCCAATGGTAACTATTTCTGTTTCACAAGAATGTACGTAATTATCCCTCTTTATGTGATACCATGTTGGCAAAGCAAAATTATTCTGAAATTATTATGTAGTCATTTTAAAACTCTTTGGGAAGGGAAGGGAAGGGAAGGGAAGGGAAGGGAAGGGAAGGGAAATGCAGCTTAAGTTTTCTCAATTGCAAGTTGTTATGTCAGCAAAAAAAGGGAAGAAAAAAATCTCCATATGGAAAGATATGAACAAATGTGATTTTTGAGGTCTTGTCTATTTCCTATGAAACCAAGAACCTGCAAATTGCATTGCCTTAAGAGCATCCTGTCTAAAACAGATCTCTTTTGAAGGCTGATCTAAACTGCAGACTGGTGTCCCAATGAGAACAGGACCACCTGTTAACTCCTTTACCTATTATTCTAGGATTTATATCTAGTCCTTTATGTTCATAATTGATTAAAGTACAGTTGTGTAGCTCAGTCCTCAATTTCTTTGGAAACAACTCCAGTATGGTTATAAATCTAGCTATCTAATTTCTCTATACTGAAACAATTTAAACAATTATCTAACAATTTCAACTTTTTTGACACTGCAAATTTTGGGTTGTAAAAATACCATAGAATGCTACTTATTCTTAACTCCCATAGAATAAGACTTATTGCCTGACTCTAGATAATTTATTCAGAAATGTTTCATGGGCTTAATTCCAAAAACATATAAGATGTTTTTGAAGTGCTTAATTAGGCCAGGAAAATAAGCTCAATTTCTGTAAGATTTGTGGGTTCATATTTATGAGTTCTATAGATATATCAAGTACCAAACTTATATATAAATCAAAATCAAACTCTACTAGAGAGAAAGAGAGAGTATGAAATTCATAAATCAAACTGGTATACATTTTTAAATGCAGGCCAATAAACAACATCATCTTCATCATAATCATCTATTCATCCAATGAATATCAGAGACTTTAGACTGGTATTTTCCAATGATTTGGGTTCTAACGCAGAACCTAAGTATCATGGAGGTATCTTCATACTGACACTTCAACTCTGTCTTATCTTGTATTCTAATTCAAATTCCAGATCTTTAAATGTTGTCACTTATTTAGCTAGGACAGAATCATCAACGCTTAAGGAGAAGCAATCAAAAGGCTTTGTGGAATAGCAAGGTTTGGAAAAGTAATCCATTCACTCTGTTAGTTAATGGCAGTCTTTCACCTCTTGGCACACTTTTCTGGAGCAGCCTGAGATGGGATTGGTTTGAAGACTTTTCTCCTTCATGCATGTCCATGTTGTGCAAATCCAGCGAACTATGCTTGATTCAGTCAGCTTTGGTTACACAAACCATGGCTTAGCCTAATACCTACATGCACAAGAAGAAAAATCAGTAGCCTAGAGGAACACTCAAAATGTACATAGGCACCAGGAAGGAAGGGGGACTTTTTCAATAAATAAGCAAATAAATAGCACCCACAGAAGGTTTTTTGTAAAAGGAGAATTAGTTTTGGGTTATTCCTAGCCATAGTGCTCCTTCTCTTCCATAGTACCTCCAGTGATAAAAGAACAATTTCCAAAGTTCAGTGGTGAAAGAAATTGTAAGAAATTGTAAGAAATACTTACAATGAAGACCTTGGAAAAGATATTTCATTGCCATGACTGGTCTTTACCTACAAGTATTGTATAGGAAATTATTTTCCCTGTGACGTTGTATGGAAGCAAAGTTGGAGTTTGAATAAGCCCAGAAAGAGTACTGATGCCTTTCACCTTTGGTGTTGGAGAAGGTTTCTGAGAATACCATAGACAACCAAGAAAACAAATGGATCATAGACCAAATCAATCCAGAGTTGTCACTTAAGGAACAAATGATCTAGGTCTAATCTATAATGCTGGGAAAGGGAGAAAAAGAGGATGACCAGCGGCAATGTGGATAGACTCAATTGCAACAGAGATGGGTGCCCCATTGGAAGAACTTAAGGACCAAGCTAGGGGCAGATCATCCTGGAGAAGGTTTATCCATATGGTTGCTAAGAGCTAGCCCTGACTTGATGGCATCTAATCATTTTTATTTTTTTTAAGGAGAGAATTTAAGTGCCTGATTTAAAATATATATATATTCCAAATCAGTCTGTACTTCATTGACACTCTTTATCTTAACAGAAAGAGGGGCAGATGTCTCTAAATCCTTTACATTGCCTTTGAAATCATAACACTTACGAATCTTGGTGCAATTTTGTGTACT